TATATATATATTAGGAAGATGAGATATAACTATGAGGTAAAATAAGCAATAAAAGCATCATGTTTTTAATTTAGGCCTTTAAATTTCAGCATCAAAATTTAAAACWGAAATTCAAACAGCCAAAGTTTTATATAGAGTTTAACAAAGCTAAAACTAGAAGCACTCGGAGAGTGCAAACCTCCGCCAAGTCCAATTTCCCCCATCCTGTAATAGAGTAAATGCACAAAAGCAGAGATGGAAACACGTTTGCTGAATAAGTTCTGACGTAGTGAACATTTAAGCAGGCAGTATGYACGGTATCTCTTCTCGGTGGAGTCCAATGTTGAAAAAAAAAAAAAAAAMCGTCAGATTTGTCACCCGACGTTATTCATCGTCAAACTGATGTCGGATTAAGCTCCTAAGTTTTCATCAGTCACATTTCACTGTGTGAAACGTCTCTTTTATCCCCTTGTATGAGTTTGTAAAGGTTTGACTCTTTATAAAGTGCTTCCTGGTATACAGTCGGCTCATGAAGCGAGTGGGTCAGCGCGACCGAAAACATTACCTCGCCCCTGGTCTCATTTAAATAATAAAAATGAACAAACAAACAAACAACCTCCGAGTCTGAAGTCCACCACACCTGAGCGCATCACTCCTCTTCCTCGTTCTTCATCGATCTGTGTACAAGCCTACCGACAATGTGGTGTGTTTGAGGAAAWAGGAAAAATAGGTTTCATGGTGCAGTCACGCTCTTCCTGGTCACGAGATGTTCTCTAAATGTGCACCAAATGCGTAAAAATGCGCACATTATGGCAAGACTTAATCATCATTACATCTGGTTTTAACATTACTTTTACGAAGTTTGAAGTCCGTGCTGTGTAATGCAGTTCAAATGAACACTGAAAGCTCTCACTGTTTTTTACAGAAGCCCTTTGAAAGCATCACAGCTTTGCCGATCTCAGAGGATTAATAGAAAAAAAATTCCTGCATCTACATCGTGACCCAGAACATCACCAAAATCTAATGGTGTGTTCATTGGGACAGTACCCACATGTGGTGTAAATACCATGATAATTCATCCACAAGTTTTTGAGTATTGTTGTCCACAGACAGGCCAACCGACACACGTGACCGAAAACATTACCTCGCCGTTGGCGGAGGTAACTAGAGGGAGAAAATAATCAAACAACCAGAGCAACAACACAGCTGAAAGATGACTGCCACAGACACCCAACTATTAACACCTAAAAGCACAAACCTCTAAGCTACATATTAATACAATTAATAGTTTCACAACATACTCAGACAGTTCTACTCATTGTATGCTATTTTTGTTTAAAGCTTCAGCACCAACTGTTAAAATCAACCTTGTTTGTTAGCAAAATATTTCATGCACTACTTGTTTTTAACGAAACATTCAGAAAACAATCCCTGGGTGTACGTTTACAACTGGCTGTCAGAGCTAATCACCATCAGCCAAGACAAATGTAGCTATAAGTCAGTCAGTTTTACAGGTAGAGTTAAAATTGAGTGTGGTAGTAGCTGAGAGTCATTCACAACACGTAATTCAAGCAGGGCATTTCACATTTTATGATACATAATTTTATTGTTAAAATCTGAACAAAAGCCTACAAATCTATCATTTCTAAAACTCAGTATGACGGTGGCTAATCTGCATTTCTTTAAGCAATGCCAGGCTGCTTTTGCAATTTTTATTCACATCTACAGGTTTGAACTGTGACCAGTTTTAATCCACAAAAAACACTCTGAAATGAAGACCTAAGTGTAGTTGAACTCAAGCTCAGAAATGAGAAATGTGGCACCTTTTTGTAGTTATAAAACGAGTAACAACTTCTGCAAACTTGGGTGGGTTTTTATTAGAGCTTGGTATTTGGAATGAGGGGCATCTTTCATACATTTTAGACAAATTGGTTACCTTAAGAGCAAGGAGAGTAGAAAGAGGAGAACCTAGGGATGCATTTAATAAGTTTATACATCCATAAATGATATAAGAAAAAAAAGTGTAAAGTTACACCAAAGCCATTAAAAACATCCAAAAGGGCCCACAATAGATCCCTGGGGAACCCCAGAAGTGATGAACTCCAAATGCAGATCTTCCCAGTTGCCATCTTTTTCAAAAAATAATGCTATGCTAAATTAAAAGAAATATGCTAAACAAAGACTGATCTTTTTAACTTCTGGTCTAAATGTTAATTTTCCTAAGTATCTAGATTATTAGCATCTCGCTTAAAAAAACATCTACTTTAAATAAAAATCTCTGAAGATTAAAGGCTCTTTTAAAACATCAGGGGATAAAATGGTAAAACTCTCTCTCTGYTGCGCTCCAGAACCACCTACACGCTCTCATGTGGGGGATGCTGGGAAACCCTGACAGCCTAATGTGGATGTGATTAATGGTGCAGACCTCTGATGCTGTCGGAATTATGTCAGACGCGAGTCTGCATTGCAGCTACTGGACACAACAGTTTCATAAATCTGTGTGTGCAATCTCCATCTGAATGAGCCTTCAGCCCTGACAAAATGATATGAAGAAGACGTACCAGTCTTTCGCAACGGGAAGTCATCCCTGGGGTTGTAGACACCCAGCACGGGGTGGTTGTAGGTGGACACACCGGTCTGCGGAGGAGAGCTCTGGTCCAGAGAACTGTGCTGGGTTTTTCTGGAGAATAAAAATAAAATAAGCACAAATTAGCTCATGCTTGTAAAAGTAAGTAACTCATGTTTGTCAATGATCTCAGATTAAGGTGTCAAACAAATCCTCTGGTAGGGATGCAGACATGTGCTGCCATCTGCTCTGTAGAAAAAAAAAGTGTCGCTTGCAGGAAAAAAACTAAAGCCAGGATGGCTTTGGTCCAAATTAGCATGTTCCTGTCAGGCGGATGTACACACCAGTCTTTCTAAAACTTAGTAGGAGGCTGAGTTCAGAGAGTGAAGAAATTTATGTGAGAAACAGAGGAGGAAACACACAGACACACTGTGTTACTTTGAGCTGAAAGTCAACGACTGTGGGTGTTTCACTGGGTCACACATCATCATTATGTAACACTATTTATTCACTTATGTACTGTAATTCTATTTTTTTTTAGTTTGGGCCCTTTATTGTATCAAAAAGACACATTTTTAAAGATTATTGTTTGTAAATAACTCCAATTCAATCACTGTCTTTGTAAAACCTCAGACGAACTCTAGATCTTGTAAAATAACTATCATGCAATAAAAAAAAATACTATATAAAAACTTTTTTCCCAATCACTGTGAAAATAGCCTCGCTAGAAGTGTGGATGTTTACATTGTTGTTGTAATCTCAAAAGGATCATGTGGTAGTACACTTTATAATTTGTGAAATGTTGTAAACAGGAGAGCAAAAGCTTGACGGACAAACAAACTCTCTGAATGGTGCGTGGCACGGAGCACGAGGAGTCAACTATAAACCAAGCTTAAAGGGTTAATGTTGGGTGGGTGGGTTGTAGGTGTGTGCATGTGGGACAGAGCAGCACTGGGACAAAGGGAGTGGAGGAGCTCTGTGTTTTTGTGTGAGTTGTGTCTGTAGCAGCAGCTTTTTTTGTTACCTTTTTTTTTGGATGTTTTCTTTTACAATAGTTTTACTTCACTGCTCAATGATGACGAGTGCTATTTTTAGCATGCTCCGCGGGCGATGTCCGCTCTGAGTAAACAAATGTTAGCCTGGCGGGGAGGCATGTAAAGCCTGGTGGCCCGCCAGCCTAATAACACACTAGGGGAAACCCTGTAGACTGCTCCAGTAATATTCCTCCCTGGCTTTATTTTTTTTCAGCCAAATATAAGTGACAAAAATACTTACATGCTGAATACTTCAGTGAATGACCTTGTTGTTCTTCTGCTTACCCACTGACAATAACGACATGTGACAACTGACATGAATAGAAAACAGAGGAAACAACAAATGTGTGCACCTGCAAAGGGCTTCAGAGATGCTGCAATAAATATTCAAGGCCAGAGTTCCTATCATCAAGTTCCAATATCCTGCTCTTGTGTGTGTGTGTGTGTGTGCGTGCGTGCGTGCGTGCATGCGTGCGCRCAGGTGAGGAAGAGCAGAAGCTGATTAATCTATTTATCTGCTGTCGGAGGAAGGATTTACCATCAAAACTTTGAATGATTTGCAGGAAAATTGTAATGTAATTGTCTGTGTTTGTGTCTGTAGGCAGGATATCTCATGAACAGCTGAATAAATGTTAATGAAACTCTCAGAAGGTAATCACTGGGTGTACATCTACGACTGATTAACTTTATGAGTCGACTGGAATCAAGATGGGTACCAGAACTTATTGGCCATGGCAAACACAAAACTGGCTGTAACTCAGTCAGTTTTACAGCGAGGGAGCTAAAATTTGGTGTGGTAGTAGCTGAGAACAATTCCTATCATGTAATTCAAGTACTAATACTGTAGATCAGGGATAGTCAATCCTGGTCCTAGAGGTCTGCAGCCCTGCATGTTTTACTTTTTCCCTTTTTCTAACACACCTGATTCAGTGAATTGGGTGCGTTGGAGCAGAGAAACAAGTAAAACGTCCAGGGCTGAGGCACTCGAGGACCAGCAGAGTGATGGAAGTGGAAGGATCAGGTTTTAATCATCACTAAGTGCAATGGCGGAGTTGGAGGGTTGCCATTGGTGGCCTTGCCCACCATATATTAATCTTGGGCCACCCCAATCATTTGAGAAAACTATAAGCAATAGAAAAACTAAAACGCAGAGTTTCCTTAAATGAYTGGGGTGGCTAGTTTACAAACATAAATATGGCAGTGGCCATCTTGGATTCTGACGTGGCAACCCAATTTCTAATTGTGACCTTTCTTACACCTAGATGCAGCTACATAGCAAAATGGACGCTGGTAGCTCAATTAATTTTCAACTTTTGCAGCTATAGGTTGACCGATACATCGGCCGGCTGATATTTTTGGCTGATATTTGCGTCTTTCTTTGTATGGGTATCAGCCGATAGGTTTGTGCGTTTGCAATTCCTTTGCATTGCTGCTCCCTCCCTGGGAGAGAGAGGCTGGTARTGTTTTAAGACTGAGTGTCAACAACAATAAGTGTGAGTTTTCAACTTTTAATGTATTTTAACCATCTAATTTAACTGTATCTGCCCTCTGTCTCTGACTGTGAGGGGGAGAGAACAGCGGTCTGTTAAGCTTCACTTTGAGAACGGGAGCACCGTGTTTTGACTTTCACTCTGCCATAAGTCCACGGTTTTTTTTTAAAGGTGGTGGAACCACTTACAGGGTGCATAGGAGAACACCTCTCTTCTTCTCCATGCTGAAATAAAATAAAAAAAGATCTCAGTCTCGTCTCGCTGTTACRTTCATTAAGAGCGAGTAAAGCGCYGCTGTCCACCATAGACCTATGTAAACCAGACGCTCTGAACGCAGCTTAAGAGTTGCGACGCAGGTTTTCTTCGGTGTACATTTCAAACTGCGATCTAAAGGTTGTTGTTAATGTCAGCTGGTTTAAATGCAATTTTTGCCCAGCTGTGAGCGCTGTGTGTGTCTAGTCCTCACAAAGCCAGCAAGACATGTACGTAGGTGTGTGTCCCTCCCTCTGCGTGTTTGTCTGACAGCTCCTCTAAGCCTGTTGCTGTTTTTGCATTAAAAAAAAAATGCCGGGATAATAAAACATGGTTATTTTATTTTATGTAGAAAATATATTAATCTGATTAATATATAGAACAGAATAAGGA